CACATGGAGAGCTACTGCCACATCCTGGTGCTTCTGCAGCGGCCAGGTCTCCAGTGCCGAAATGGATACCTAAATCTCCGCACTGAGGAATGGGGGGGATTTTTGGGAGGAGGTGTTGAAACAGAGCGGAACAGGGTTTTTACAGCGTCTCCAGCATCCTGCCAGAAATCATCAAACCCGACACCATAGAAAGGCAGGAAGAGTTGGAGCAGGAGAGGAAGGGGGGGACGTCCTCTGGCTGTCAGTGGGACCCATCGGCACCAGAATACCGTTGCTTCGGGGATTTAGGCCGGCGGTATCGGCTTCTCCATCTCTGACACCACGCCTGTTCAAAAAGAGTCACATGGCCAGAGAAGCGTAGCTGCCAATTCAGGCTGCTTTATGTATACGCTGTATTTATACGCTGTATTTATACGCTGTATTTATATTGTACCCGTGTCACTACCTCTAGCGGCACGCCTTGCAGATATGCACCCCCCCCCCTGGGCTACACTGGGTACCTTACTTACCCACTACCTGAACCTGTCATCTTTCAGTAGCAAGTCCAGCTCTGACCCCCCTCCCGGCGGGAGCGAGGCTGCGATACATCACGCCAGTGCTGTGGCCTGACGGGGGCCGGTGGAAGATGAGACAACTGGAGGTTATCCATCTCACTTAACGGGGGCAGCCGAGGAACCCCCCAACTGCTGGGGGCCTATAGAAACACAGGCCACAGCGGTGCCGCTCGCGCCGTGCTCACAAATTAAATACTAATATATCAAAATATGCAAGTGGCTTAGTCACTCTCCCTCTCTCTGTCACACATGCGCTCGCACACACATACACACGCGCGCCTGCATGTTCCCCCCGCGCTAATCAGCCGTTTGTGTAGTATTTCAAAATCCACTTCAGCATGTCTCTCGCTCTGCTCCAGACGCGTTTTTCCTGGTGATCTTTGCCCTGTGTAACATAATAAATTCCACAGGTCTCGACGGTGAGTCCGAAAGACGGTTTCCCCTCTGCTTGGGGCACACAGAAAAGATATCCCTCACTTCCATTCTCATCCTCCACCCAGAATCAACATGCACATCTTCCCACGTCTGTCCATGCCCTGACCCAGCAATGCATAGCCTCGCATATTCCACGTGCTTCTTCCGTCCATTCAGGCCTTGCAATGGCGTCGAACAGGTCGATCGGGAAAGGCGTGCCCGTAAATAGCTTCATGCTACTTTCATTCAGACGACAAACGGTGTGGGAAACTTAAAAGACTTGCGTGTTTGACGAGGGATAACAGGGCAAACTGAAACCAACCTCTTGTCAACAGACCCTGGAGGAGAGATTAGTCGAGATTTGTCGAGCCCTTCGCTAAAGTGGCGAGGGAGAAGACCGAGATTTGACACAACGGTCACAGGCGGCCCGAAGCTCGGATTTTCCGTGACGCCAGCTCTCAGCAGGGTGATCCTGCGTGACGTCCAGGGCAAAAGAAAACATTAAAACTTCCCCGCTTCCCTTGAATGTCCTTCTCCATTCCCGCTACCTCACCATGACTGATCAGAAGTTTAATGCCGCAATTTAAAGCAGCTATGCAAGATTATGTATATGAAAAGGGTATAAAGTCACAGGCTTTGTGTTTACTAGCTCAATGGTGCCCCTCTACAGAGACAGGCTAAATATACATGATGTTTTATTCGACTTTGCACTAATACAAGGTAATATTTTTCCCATATAACATTTTGCTCTCTGTTGAGACAAACACACTCATATATGCACAGTTGTGAGCAAAGCTTGGGGGTCATGCACAGTGTCAGATATTTATCCAGTATCCCCAAAGGATTGAGGGGTTAAAAGCCCAATGGAGGTGTGGCTATTCTGCTGAGGCCGGGATTCAAACCCACAACCTTCCGGTTACAAGAACAGCGACCTGAGCCACTCCGCTGCCGAAATGCTTAGCCATATTTCTTTATCAGTGCGGCCTGTTTGAGATGAGAAAGCAGTGCTCTGATCAGGTCAGGAGGCACTCTGTTATTGGATGACATCAGAGCTCTCACCTTCCGGGTTCAAAGGAGCAAAACAGGAGGACAGACAGAAGGATGTGACCCCACTACCAGGGCCTTCGGTACAAGGGTGGGAGGAATTGTGAAAAGGAGCAGACCCACACCTAACTAGGCACGAAACACTGGGCTGTAAGCACGCAAAATCGGCCTCCTGCTGGAAATTACAATGTTTATTATTCAGAAACTGGTCAGGTCCAACGAAAAAACACAAGGAGAGGCTGAGAAATAAAGTACCTTCAATTCTCCAAAGAACATTTTACCCCGGCTAAACGAAGCATGAAAGAAAAATAATTGTTATGCTTCACGAAAGACATTTATTTGTGTATGATTGCGCAACAGCCAAAAATTGTACATTTCGGCTCATCACCCTTCATCATCGACCTTCGGTTGCATGGCAACCGCTAAATTTTAAGTGTGCAAATTCCACGTCAAAGTGAAAAGAAAATGATCACAGCATGGAAAGAGGAGACGTGACGGACATCAGCAGAGACAAAAGGCCTGAAGCCACCCACCTATACCTTCAGGCGGTTCCAAAGAAAATGCTAAAAACAGTGTCTTTCCGCCTCACTCTCCCCGACTCGCCACGGGTGACACAAGGCGGCCCGCTCCGCTTCGCCTTAAGGGGGCGCTGCTCTCTTTGCTTCCTCCGCATTGGCTCCAGTGGAGACCGTGGGCTGGGGCAGGTGCTGCGTCCCCTTCTTCCTGCCAGAGGGGTGCTCCTGGTGTGGCAGAAAAGTGCTGAACCATGCGTTTTCATTGCTGCCCCCCTCCCCCCTACCATCACAGCCTCTGTCCTTTGCCCCATCTCCAGAAAAGTGCGCCTTCAGAGTGCATTACCTGCAGGGTGGTGGGGACACACAGGCCCCCGATGAGCACACACAAAGCCATCTGGGGGGGTGAGTCAGGGCTGCTGAAACAAAGTAGCCCTTTTTAATCTGCCCACAGTGTGCCCCCCACCAGCCAGTCCCCCAATCTCATCCTACAGCATGACATTCATCTGAGAGCCTTAGACCGGCAAAGTCGAAGCCAGAGGCCCAGATTAAACAGAACCATGGCTGGCCAGCCGGGATCAGACCACCTGTGTTTTAACATAAATTGCACTCAGCAAAATAAAAGCAGAATAAAAATGTAGGGAAAGGAATCCTGTGATCATGGAAAACAAAGAGGAATTGCATTTGTGCGTTTTATGGCAGAGCCCTGTCTCCTGATTGGCCGAGGCCGCCGGCTTTATGTATAAGTATGCCCATCAGGGATGAGTCACTCGGGATGGAGCGGAGCGCCGAGACTCGGCGAGGCCTTTAATCTTTACATTTATGCCCGTGCGCCTTGCCCCCCCTGCCATGTACCTGCCGCTGTTTTTCTATGCTTCAATATCAGCGGCGCGAACAAACAAACATTAGCACGGTCATTACCGCGAGTGGCCCTCGAGTCGTGCCGCTGAGTCCCAGCGGAGGTCCGCACGCTGCCACTTCAAATTGTGCCCAGATTAAAGGGTTTGTGGGACCGGGCCGACGGCGCCGGAGCCGTGGCTCACCCCCGGACCTGCCTGCCGCGTTCGGTGCAGCTTTGATTTCCATGGGGAGAGCGGGAGGGACAGCCACGTCAAATGGGGAAGACGTGGCAGTGTGCTGACCCCTGCCGCATGGCATCTCCCCCCCCCCCCCCAGGGTACGCATTTAATAAAAACACCTCCAGACAGCCCAGTGCTGGCTATGAAAGTTAACATGACAAGATCAGACAAGCTTTCAGGAACTGTATAATCGGCTTAGACAGACAGACTACACACACACACACAGACAAAAGGTGCTTTATACCGTTAACATTAATACGTTAATATTAAAGCTTATGTAAGAAGCCCCCCTGCCAGAAAATGCTGCATGTCAGGTGGGCGACAATAATCACTGTGCAGAGGACCAGTGTGACGAAGATGTATGGATGTGGTTGTTGGGTCACGCCCCAGGGCACAAGCCCCCATTGGGCCCCGGTTTGACTGAGGATTACAGTCAGAACCCGAGGGCCACCCAGACGGTGACATGGGAGAGCTCTCGCCCTCTCTCTCTCACACACACACACACACACACACACACACCCACACAAAGGAATACACATCATAAACACACAGGCACTCGCTAATACAATTTACCCACTGAAAGACAACAACACACATAACACAGACGTGCACACAATCGCACACAAACGAAACTTCAGTCCAAAGCTTCTAATGAGGAACAGTGATTCTAAATGAAAAGACAGGAGAAGGGCAAAGATCAATCAGAATTCACTGCACCATTGCAAAACAAGCCCTGGCAGGACCGAAATGCCTGTCCACACTTTCATTGGCTCGTGATAAATGATGACATCCTGTTGGCCCCTGAAACGGGAAGTTCCTGCTAGGACACCCCCCTCCCTCCATATCAGAGCTTGTTTATAATAGACAGGCTGGCAATCATGTCTAGAGTGAACCGCAAGGGAAACGGCAAGAGACTGACTTATCCTGCTTGTAGAAGAAGTTCACCATAAGTGAAACATTTATACAAAAAAACCCACCAAATTCTCAGACTTGTGCAGGCAGAAATTTAACACCCCCCTCAGAGTTGCAGTGACATTTTAAAGCTAAATCAGTGCACATCTGCCCTCGTCCACTTGACTACATATATGGCTGGAATTACCGACTATTTAAAGGCTGACGGGGGCAAAAAAAAAACACAAGCCTCTCTCTCTCTCTCTCTCTCTCTCTCACACACACACACACACACACACACACACACACACACACAGAAAACACAGCACCAGTCATACCAGCACCGGAGATGGCGATACATAAACATTTGCCCAGGCTCTTTGGAGAAATGGGAGGAGCTAGGTGGACATATGGAAACAGGTGTGCCAAACGCGGCTCTGCCCTGAGCCAACAGCTTTGCAGTCATCAGACCCGGCCTTGTCTGGGAAGGCTCAGACTCGACTTACTGGTTTTGCTGGGCATCTCGCCCCCTTCCACACGTCGAGCGCATCGCCCTCTATGCCAGCCGGCTGGACTTTCAGGAGATCCAAAACAATACATGAAGACAGAGCCTGAAAAAAAAAAAAAGCAACAGATTAGAAACGTCCTGGGAATCTGTAGTTAAGTGCCAAAAATGACATTTCCTAAAACTACTACTTGCATTCCCTGAAACATGGAGAACAGCTGCATTGTGGGACACCAGACATGGAAATCCAAAGCCTATGGCAAACTCATACTCTGATTGTTAAAATTGCCCAGCCCTTTAAGGTTTCAGGCCTCCATCAAAGAAAAACCTCTCAACCTGTGGTAAATCCCATAACCCTTGTCATGTGACCCGGTAGCCGGAAAACCATTGGCGCTTGACTACATTTTATTTGACAGCAAAAGGGGGGGCGCGGTGGTGCGCTCAGTGCTGACCAGTCGCAATCAGGATTGGTGGTGATGGTGGGGGCAAATTCCCAGTTCATTGCCATGGCGATCAGTCAACAGTGACAGCCGGAGATCTGGAGTGCAGGCTGACCGTGCCGTAGTTAACGATTTATCTCTGTATCCGGCTCCCAAACGAGTTGGCAAACATGGAGCGCGGCCAAGTCAACGAGGCTGACAGATCAAAACAGGACACCTCCTTGGGCAGCGATTAAAGGCACAGAGGGGGAGGGACGCCTCTGACATTAGGCTACATATCTTTCGACACCAAAGCCAGCAATGCCCGCCATACTTCTTAGGAGACATGTTAGGGACTGGCTTCGACTGCTGGAGCACATATTTATGGTGTGGATTCTCGTAGATTCACCCCCCCCGAGCTTGTTTCATGGTCTGCCAGCACTCGAGTGTAAGAAGAGAGAGGATAATAGGGTGGGACCCATACTGACAGGGGTCAAAGGTCACAGCCCCACTGCATGCATTATGCCTAAAGACATAGTCTCATTTGCGTGAAAACATCACTAACACCAGGACTGTTAAAAAATAATTTTATATTATAATTTTATATTGCAGTGAAGCTGCAATATTGAGTTTACTTAAATAGATTTTTTTTTTTTTTTAATATGTTAAGTCTTCATATTCAAGGCCACATGTGTAATTGTAACCCAGACTCCCTCATGAGGAACGTGACTAGGGCTGTTTTCAGGAAGCTTAATAGTCACCACTGCTCCATCCCCGGGTCAACAAATTTTACCATTGCCACTGCCCCCCTAGTAAAGACCTACCTCCTTTTCAAAAATCACCGGTGACTCTCCTATCCCGGGTAATGTATTGGAAGTACTGTTTCTGAAAGGGACGTTTCTGGCAACATCTCACAGATTCTGTGCTTTTTACGAAGACGTGTCAGCTAATGGCTACAGAGTCATTTACACGAGATCCCCAGACCAGCAACAGCAGCAGCAAATGCTCAGCAATTCTGACGTGGTCAGGACCGTAGAACAGACTTGCCCTTCCCAGAATTCATGGTAAGCTGAACGTTGATGGGCAGGGTATTGTACTCCGGAAGATCAAGGATTGCGACCATGGAAAAGTAATCCTAGCATTTTCTCGAAAGCACATTTAAAGAAATCATATATCAGGAAAATATTTCAACTGAATGTCATGAACTAATTCGTCATTAGACGGACCATCCAAATAGTTGGTTTACCTCAAACCATCTTTCTCAGAAAGATTACAGAATAATATTTTAAGAGCTGTAACTGCCGCTTGTCGAATTTCCTTGCAATTTTCATTTTCATTTCCTGGCAATGAGAAACAGGCCCCATTTCTCACTTTCTCTTACTGGGAAAGAAAGAAAAAAAAAAACTTGCAATAACAAGTTCCAAATACAAAGTGTTGTTCCTCAAATTGGTGTCACCGTGAGAATCCAGGGCATCTGCCGCGCCTGTTTTTAGAAAACATCCTCACATAGAATTTAGCGGCAATTCCTCCTCCACCTATGCATGAAGTTGCCGGAACATTCTACGTCATGCGTGATAAGGCGCAAAACTTTGAGAGGGAAGCTGCCTTATTCATATTCCGAGCACAGGACCATACAGGAAGTAGAAACCCAGTCACCCCTTTCCACGGGTTGAGAAAGCCTTGCACTGGCTGAGAGCATGACCTGTCACATGGACGCACTCACACACTAGTGATACAAAGAACGGAAGGAAGACCATTTCAGAAATAACAGCAAATGTAACATCAACATGTGCTACTTTTGCCTCTGACTTAATGGTCAAAGGCAAAATTAATGTGTAGCTTAGCTAAGAATACATTACTGCACGTCATTTTATTCAGATATTCCGATACACTCAGCTGCAAAAACCACTGCAGAGGCATCTGCCTGTAATAAGTGTTTGCATTTCTAATGCCTGTAATTTAAACAAGCTTTAGGATAATAAAGTTGGGTAGCACAGGCCCTTTAGGCCCAGAGGATTGGGTGAGGGGTCCCCATCCCACCCCCACTCTCTGTCAGTGTATTTATCCATTTTGCCCTGCTTGCAATGGACCGGGCTGGTCCTCGGGCCGTGCACCCGGTGCTGCCCTGATTTAGCATGATGGCCGTCCTCACCACCACGCTCCAGCATGTCTTGTAAGATGAGCAGACGGATCGATGATAACGTTTTGTGTTTTGATGCCTGGGACCTGGAGCGTACCTAAAGTCTGGGCCTCCTGGCAAAATGTCACCTTGGGCTCCCCTGTTGAATCTCATGTATAATTTTACACATTCGAGGCCCCCTGTCATGCCCCACTGACAGCCCTGTCCAGCATAGCTCTTACTATTTAGCTAAGCAGAAAAAGAGGACTTTTTACTTTCAACTGAATGAGTGAGAGTCATACAGGAAGTGATGTGTAGAGGTGTGCAGAGGAACCAGGTCGCTGTTGCAGTTCTAGCACAGCAAGGCCTCGTTTCCAGGGGGGGATTTGACAGCCATATATTTCTTGGAGTAGCAGTCAAACTTGTAGGTTTACAAATCTAGCTTTCTTCCCAATCCCTAGCATTTGCCTAATGTGTAATCATAAAAACTGAGGTACACTGAAATGATTCAGTTATGTATTTTAAAATAACTGGTCCAATTTAGCACCCAGTTCTTGGTCCTACAGAGAACCTTAGATACACACGACGTTGTGTCTCCAGTGTAACTATAGGTACTTCAAAGGCACCACACTGTTTGCAGTCTAACGACATTAGATTTCTATGAAAATACCTTTCTGAAGATCAGCTGGAAAACACTTCTGCCCAACAATCCGAGACTGTTATCATATCCACAGCCAAGATTCCTAATTATTTTTAAGTGCCTATTAAATGAAAAAAAATCTCTTAAAATTTTTTTTGTAGACTTTCACACAATCCTACTGTTGAAAGGAGAACTGAACCTGGTGTGGAGAGATCAACATCCAGTGTTGTTGGACGGCGGTATTCCGGGTCTTGGGATGGCCAGCATGCCCTGCCAGGAAAACGGGTTTTCCGGACTGGCAGGTTGCAAGGCACTGCCTGCAGGATCGACTTTGGAGCCGGTCATAGCTGGAGGCTGACTTTAAGTGTCCAATCACACACCTCCCTGGCTTGTAACTAAAACAGACAATCAACACAGATGATGTCAGTAATTGCAGCCTTCCAACCGCCGTGAAAACGGCTGGCGGATCATGCATCACCATGGGGACATCTTCATTCGCCCTCTATTTTGCTTTTATTTATAATTTTTAAGTGAGCACCTCTCATCAGTCTTACACAACAGTTGGGCATATGTATCTCATCCCCTAGGTAAACAACCGGGGGCAACGATGGTTGAGTGAGTCACAGGTGAGGCAACTGCAGAGGGATCGCAGAAAGATGTTACACACGCGTGTCAGAACCGTAAAGTACGACCACTCACGTCTGACTGAAGACGGGGGAAAATTCTCAGAATTCTCAGAGTCCAGTCACCTCTAAAGTTCCCCCAACCTTTCAACAAATCAACCCGCGCACATCATACGCCTTGGGGTTATATGTGAGACATCAATCACCTTCACTCACTCCTGGCTTAGCTTTACAAACAACGATAGGGGAATGACAGACACGGAAACCCAAAGCAACATTTGCAAACCAGCTGGGAAGGTCAACTGATCTCGTCCATTGAAAAAGCATGTCTGCTAATTCAGAGAAAATCTTAGAACATCCAAGATTTACACACATACTTGGGATTCTAACAGATTTCTGTCGACTTTTGGACACATCAACAAAGCCAGAGGAAATACTTTCTCCATTTCAGCCCCAAAAGCAGAGAAGCATAGTGAGAACATAACAAAAATGCTTACAGATGGGTTTCTGAGGCCTATATTACCAGCAGCCTTAAATATCAAACATAAAACTGAAGCAGATAGCAGAGGGACAAGAGTGAGAATGGGAGAAGCAGGCAAGAAATAATGAGTAAAAGAACCAGAGGTATTCTATCAGTCAATAGCACCCTCTACAGCAGTGTTTACCAACCAGGTCCTCAAGGACCCCTAGACAGTCCATGTTTTGGGTCCCTCCCAGCTCCCAGTAGAGCAGAAATGTGGAGATGGGAGGGAGCAAAAATGTGGACTGTCTAGGGGTCTATAGAAAGCTTTCCATGGGCATATCCAGGTGAGCTTTGCCCACATTATTCCGAGAGAATTGATTAGCTTTTCTATCTATGTAACCCAATATCATACTGAAGCCGCAAAATCCGACGGGATTTTCCCTTTGGTCACCAACTGCCATGATCATCCCAAAAAGACACACATCGTGAATCAGGCTGCAGACTCCCCATCACTGATAATGAATCAAACATGCGTTTGCTTTCATTCTGCGCAGGCAATTCAGGAAACATTTATGGTGCCCTAGACAGATTAAAATCAGACTTAGTTTGGCAGCAGGAACCACTTGGAATTACGATAAGGCCATGAATTGAAACCATAACCTCTGTCATCCTGAAAGGCCATTAACTGTATACAAAACATATCTGTTATATGTGCCGAGTTGCATATCACACAATTACAAAGCAACGTCTCCGTACCTATAGATCACTTCAAATTAAATACTCATTTCCTGAGAAGACATTATGAATCATGATAATGTACCATCAGTGTTTCTCAAACGAATCCTCGTGGTTCCCAGACAGTCCACTCCTTTGCTCCCTCTCAGCTCCAGAAATCGACAGAGCTATATGTGCCTGTGGTTGCCCATATTTTGAAGTCATATGGTGACAACAACTGACTACAACTGAAGTCCAAATATAGTTTTGAAAATAAAGACTAGGCCTATTCTGTATGGCATGGTTTTAGCCATGCAGTCCACCAGGCGAGAGATCAGTCCTTCAGAGGCCTAGGGCCTATAATACTAATCTGATCAGCTGAAAATACCACAACAGTACATTAACAAGGTGGAAATCGTCATGGTCGCTAAAAGAAAAAACAGACGTTTGGAAACCTTTCAGATTAGCGATTAACACGGCACAACATTACGGCGCGGGCCGTATTAAGCGCCTGGTCATTAACGTGGCGAGAGCGTGCGTTTTTCCACACACCAATTAAATAAAACAGTCCATCATTAGCACAGCAGCTAAGGGAACAGAGTAACGGGGAAAAGAGAGAAAGAGAGAGCTGTGGCCAGGCAGATTTTCAGAGCATGTGATTGTTAAGCATTAAAATCACACATAATTAAGTTAAAAAAACACACAGTAGAATAAAAAGGCTTTGTGCGAGAGATGGAAGCTGAACAACCAGAAACGTCTGAATGTGTTTACTACACATTCTACATTTTAATATAGAGCAGCGTTTCCCAGCCTGGTCCTCAGTGACCCACAGACAGTCCACGTTTTTGCTCGCCCTGGGAGAGTGCAAAAATGAGGGCCGCACACGGGTCCGCAAGTCCTGGATTGGGAAACACTAATACAGAGAGTTACAGTGATTGGAGCTGTGTAGCAATATGAGAAGAAATATTTTCTAATCTTATTTAAGTGACCTTCAAGCCACTAGACACTTTCAGAGATGATGTGCATCAACTAAATACCAGTGAAGGATCTCAAACGGGTCCATTATACTATTTTGTGCCATGAAAAGGACATTCCAGACTTTTATTTCAGTCACTGTTAAAAGAAGAAAAGAGTTTCTTTGGAAATCAGTCCGGCTTTAGTTTTTCTATGTTTTTACAGCACCCATCCATCAAGTAATCCAGTAAATCCTTCATGGTTTTGACACTAATCTACATTTATACAGTAGGCATATTCACTTGGCCTTCTTCAAGATGAAAGCAAGTGTTTCTGTGTGATTTTCAGAAGTTTACTTACTATACATATTATATTGATTTATTCTTAAAATCAATCTGATAGCGGTGTTTGCATCTGTGAAGTTGTTTACTTTTTTAATTCACTATAACAAAAAAGAAAAACTTTAGTTGTTCCATCTGTGTCACGTTCCTCCCTCTTCGTCATCCCTACTGGGAGGAGACGGTCCAAATAAACAAACATCGAGATGCGAAACCAGTAAAACCAGGACAGAATGCCACCACCACCCCAGGACTAAGGACATTCTACTTTCCTCCCCCTGAGACACACATCCCTATCGAGTTCATATTTCATGCAATCAACTGTTAGAAAAAGGAAACGTGGCACAATCAGGAAGTGCTTCAATCACCGTCCCGTCATTTCTGCACTCAACAGATAAGCCCGTCTACAGTCGATCAAATTTCTTGCTCTCCTGAGGTGTAAACAGTCCATTGCCGCTAACCAGAAACCTCCAGGAAGCTTTCTTGACTTAGGAGAATTTCTGAGGACCATAAAGTGGCTGGACAACTCTGACTTCATGCTATAGCTGTGTGTGTAAACATCTTCAGAGCCATCCCTGCTTACATCTGGATGCAAATGTCCTTTTCAACATAGTGAAGCCATATTGTGAAAGTGTGTGTGTTTATATTACTGAATACTTTCACTTGGTCTCATACCTGGAACCGGGGTTAGAGAACGTCTGGAAACCATGTGATTGCTTAAATGCAGTGCAACAGGAATGTTTTTCACGGCAACCTTTCCTCTTAAGAACAAAGGTTTTCTGTAAATATTACATAAGCAATACGATACATGAATGTTACGTACATTTTCTCCATTTTTCACCATTTCAGGGCGCCGTATATTTCAGGTCTTCAATATCCACAGCTATATTGCTGTAAGATGTCTTTCTGCTTTTCTAATTTTACAGTATTTAGATGGTATGAGGCACAGTGATACACCCTGTCGCCTCACACCTCTGGGACCAGGGTTCGAGTCTCCACCATGGCTGTGTGTGTGTACTCCCCGAGTTTCCCCCCACAGTCCAAAAACATGCTGAGGTTCATTGGACTTACCAAATTGCCCATAGGTGTGCATGTGTGAGTGAATGGTGCGTGAGTGAATGGTGTGTGAGTGAATGGTGCGTAAGTGAATGGTGCGTGAGTGAATGGTGTGTGAGTGAATGGTGCGTAAGTGAATGGTGCGTGAGTGAATGGTGCATGACTGAATGGTGCGTGTGCCCTGCGATGGGTTGGCACCCCTTCCAGTGGTTCTTCCCCGCCTTGCACTAATATGCTCCGGACCCCCGCGACCCTGAACAAGACAAGTGGTTTCAGAAACTGGATGGATGGAATGTTAGACATCGCTATTGTACAGTAACTACTTATTGCAAGTAGGTTATTCCTTTCAGCACTACTATCCATTCCTACTATAATGCTTTTTCAATTTAAAAGCCTCTTCAATTAACATTTTCTTTTTTATTGGGGGGGGGGGCTTTATTTTGCCCTTTTACAAACAAACAGATGCATGACATACATTTAATAGCCAAAGCATACTAAATATAATATTATAGGAAACAGGAAACATCATCAAGCATCATCAACTTAATAAAGTCACCAAGTTGACTATATTCATCAGCTGGACCATCACTAAGATCTTTTACAGTCATGTGCCTCAGCCATATCCAATCCCTGGAGACCAGAGTTTCAAGCCCCCTCCCCCCTTCCAGTTTCAAAAAGGACCCCAGGACACCCCACATCCCAGCAAATCCAGCCCCCCCTCTGCAGTGCTTAGACACTTAGACACACCTGCACATGAGCTACAGAAGGCTGGGATGGCACAGGTGCCCAAGGCCCTCAGGTCACAGCCTGGCATAGTCACCAAGCAGATGCCAAGATAAAAGCACTTCGTTACTGAAACCTCGGCAAAGGCAAAAAAAAAACTAACAAAAATGCAAACTGGTTTATTCCAGCTGTAATGAGATATATCCCAGCATCATCGCCCTTTGTCACCCCAGCTGAAGTCTCTTACCTTGTTTTGCTTCTCGTTCTATTTTCAGGCACCACCCACATTCATTCCTGGATTACTTCCCATCATCCAGTTTCTTACATTGATTGTTCCGGTGATTGTGAAATTTAAGCACCCCTCCCCCCTACAACAGTACGGTGTTTGGACACACACAGCTGCATAAGCCTAATCTTGTCACGTCCCTGGTTTACACACCGCGTCCGCGTCTCGGTCAGGTGCACACCTGAGTTTGCCTGGCATGGTGAGAGACATTCTTCTATCCTATCTGCTTCTATTTTTA